TGGCAAGTTACATGGATTATTAGCACTGCAGTTGATGGTCCTTTTGATGTATTCCTTGGATGAGTTTTTCATGGAAGACAGGGATTTCTTATACAGGAATCAGACAAAATCTTACTTTTGAATAGAATGAAAAATTCATGTTCAGCACATGTGTTTGTTCTTAAAGATAAAAGTGCAGTCCTTGCAGACTTCCTAAAAGTACAGAAACAGTTGAGCTTCCCTGGCTGGTCCACGTCCAAGGAGGAATTTAAGGGTTGTCCAATGAGTAGCTGACAGTTCTTTTACTAGAAACAAGAAGTTTACAGTGGAATACCTGTATTATAGAAGCGTATGTATAAAGCACATGGAACATGGTCATAGGAACCCTTTCTGTGGATAAATCTGTTCTTGTACTAATCCAGCTCTGCACAATCCTCACTGAGTTCATGAATTAATCTTTAAGCAAACTGAGACCTTGCCCTCCATCAGAACATACTCAAGAATTTACTTTCTGCAAATGAATGTGGTGAATTGTCTTCTAATGTGTTTTCTGCCGTCTGTATTTTGTAAGTCTTTGCGAAAGAGAAACTGTTTCAACCATGTGAAAAAAGTCTAGTCACTGTGGTGGCTTTCCATCACAGTGTTTGAATGTGATTGGAACAGATTCTGATCGTATTCACTTACCCCTCATCAAATAGTTTTTCGTTTATCTGTTGCTTTTACTTTTCATCCAAATGATGGAAACAGTAACCTTCCCCCTGACAGGGACTGACACCTTTGACCTTAGGTTTGCCCTGTATAAAGGCCATTCAGTTTTCAGTGACTGAGGATGTGAAAAACACAGGGGTGAGATTTCTCAGCTTTTTAGCTGATTTCAGCTTTTTTTGTTTTGGATTTCAGCTTTTTTTCCTCATTGGCTGTGTAAAAAAAGTATAGGAGATTTTCACAGTTCAGCTTCTTTATGTCTTAATCAGCTAGTTTTATCATTGGTCAATCTCATCCCTGATAACATGACTCCCCCGAACAACGAGGAATTGCTAAATTGTAAAGCTGTACTTGTTGCTTTTCCCAGCACCTGATGCATGCCAATCTGCTCCCTGTATGAATGGCGGACAATGCAGCAGTGAAGCCAGCGGCTACACCTGTAACTGTCCGGATGGCTTTACAGGAATCAACTGTGAAACTGGTGAGGGAGATGCCTTGCTCCCCACCCCTACCTATGTACTAGTATGAATGATGGAGCAGTCAATCCATCAAGACACTCATTGTGACTTTGAAAATTGGCAAGCTTTATCTCCAAGCATTCTTTAGTGGTGTGAGAAAAAAGCAAGTACTTGTTGACTGTCATCTTGTGGGCTCCAAAATATTGGATTTGTGGGGTATTGCAGCTTTGTTGCATGACAGCACATAAGTTTTGATAAAAAAGAACATTTCTTGACAGTTTTTCAAGTATGCCTTGCACTTTATTGAATTAATGGCAAGAAGAGCCTTGGCCCTGATAGTAATGTGTGACTTGATGTTTTCGGATCTGAAGTAAAAGAGGTTTTCTTGTCTGGTAAAATTAAGAAAAACTAGCATCTGCTGGAACCAGAATGGCCAAATCACAGTGTTCCACTTGTTACTGTTTCCTAGCAATTGATGCATGCCAATCTGCTCCCTGTATGAATGGTGGACAATGCAGCAGTGATGCCAGCGGCTACACATGTAACTGTCCGGATGGCTTTACAGGAATCAACTGTGAAACTGGTAAATAACCCTTACAAAAATGTGCCATGGGGGTATCCCATGGGAAAATTTCCCATGGGATTACATGGTGAATTGGCTACCACGTAGTATGGGATTTTTACCCATGGGATTTTGCCCATGCGTATTTCAAGAACCCCATGTAATCTCCCAAAATATTCCCATGGTGATTTAATTGTCACATCCCATGGTGATTTTCCTACACATCCAATGGTGATTTACCCATGCATCCCATGGTGATTTACCCTTGTGTCCCATGGTGATTTTCCCATGCGTCCCATGGTGGTTGCCCTATTTGTCCCATGGTGGTTGCCCCATTTGTCCCATGGTGATTGTTCCATGCATCCCATGGTGGTTTTCCCATGCATCCCATGGTGATTTTCCCATGCATCCCATGGTGATTTTCCTATGTCGATTGTCCCTTGCATCCCATGGTGATTGTTCCATGTCAATTGTTCCTTGTGTCCCATAGTGGTTTACCCATGCCTCCCATGGTGAGTGTCCTGTGCATCTCATGGTGACAGGCAAAGTTGCAGTCATCAAATCAACATTCCATTCCAAACTGTGTACTGTAGTTCATGCCAATGCTGCATTTTAATGGCAGCAGCTAAGGTGATTTACAATACAACAAAGCCTCAAAATGTACCTGTGTAGATGCTATATCAATGCAAATCCCAGTCTTCTCATGATGATAGCAAAAATTTGAATAGTGTTTGTGTGGCTTTTCCATGGTGGCCGCATACAAATCACATTGTATTCCCATGTAGAGCATAAAAACCCTATGATGTTCCCATGCTGATTACAAAAGGCCCATGGTATTCCCATGCTGATCATAAAAGCCCCATGGTATTCCCATGCTGATCATAAAAACCCCATTGTATTCCCATGCTGATCATAAAAGCCCCATGGTGTTCCCATTATTTTTTGCCAGTCCCATGGCATACACATGGGGTCCCATGGGTAGCCCATGGGATGCCCTGGGATCTGCATGGGACATTTTTGTAAGGGAAGGGGAACACACGGGGAGTGTAAAATTCCATTCCCTTCACAATCTCAGTAATTGTTCATTCAGTGATGAATACTCAACCAGTGCATGACATGCATGCATGTTTATGTGTTGCGTATAATGGGTGATAGTTTAGCAGTTGAATAAACCTAGATGGTCTGCTCAGCAATACGGGCAAATTAGAGTTGTGCGCCTCAGAGAGTTTGCAATGCATTTGCCAATCACAACACGCGAAATCTGTCGACCCTTTCCAACTACCCATTGGGTAGACAGATTTTGCGCACGGCGATTGGCCAGTGCATTGCAAACTCTTGGTGGTGCACTATTATGAAACACCCGTATTGAAACATGGTAGGTACAATGAAAAGAAACATTAGCCTTTATTAGTGTTTCTAGTTGAGGAGATTGTGTCCTGGGTCTTCACCAACACAATTCAGGGAATGGAGTTTACTTTGTAAGTAGTGTGTAATCAGTCCAGAAATTTGTGAACATTCCATGTATACCTGTGCATCTGTCTGAAATGGATGGATCTGAGATTGTCAACTGTCTTTATAAATCTCACCACTTTTTGCACTTATGGTTTTTCTCTTGTCTGTAGAAACAGGATATTGCTTGAAATGCTAGTCTGGATTATATTTAGACATGATTTCATGAGATAGAGCCTAAGAATGACAGGGCTTATTTGGGTTATAGTTGGAAACATCTAGCCTTGATTTCATGGGTTAGAACATAAGGCTGAAAGGGCTTAAAGGGCTTACAAGGGCATAGTTGGGCACTTGTTTTGCTTTGATTTCATGAGATAGAGCATAAGGCTGAAAGGGTTTATCTTGGTATAATTGGGCACTTGTTTTGCCTTGATTTCATGAGATAGAGCATAAGGCTGTTAGGGCTAATGTGGGTATAGTTGGGCACATGTTTTGCCTAATTGATTTCATAGACTGTTAGCACTTGGTTTGCATTTTACACAGTACCAAAGTACCTTCAACCATTGGTTTGGAAATCGCTGTAAATAGGGATGCAAAGGGAAATGACTTAAATTACAAGTATCTGAAGGAAGAACCAGATCAGTCAAAAAAGAGAGGTACACTGTAGGATTGTGTTTATACTGTTATATATCCTGCGATCCTTTGATGACAGATTGTCTTTCGAGTCCCTGTTCTGACAACACTCAAGTAACAAGGGTACAGTGTTCTTGAGCAGGTTGTTACAAATGGGCAAGTGTGTGTTAAGTTGGGACGTAGCATTTTCAAAGTTGCAGACAAATCTCAGATTTTTTGCATTTAGGCCGTGTCCGAAACGGGTTTTCAGAGCTACGGCTAGGTCTATTGTCTGTGCATCTCCATGCATTTCCAATGGAGTGAATACCAAGACCTAGCTCTAGACAAGAGATTCGGATGCAGCCTTATTTGAGGACCATTTGGAGGATGAATGTGAAACTGACAAAATGATGCCCTCATAGCAGCCCCTCTTTCTAGGTTGATCGTATTTCATCTGTATACCAGGACCTTTGAATTTATTCTGCAGTCTACCATTTTGTTCTAGCTGCATCTCGCTTAACCCCAATAACCGGAGAGTGAAACAGTCGATCCACAAACAGCCCCATTGGGTCTATTTGTCTCCTTTGAGACTGCTGTTCTTGTATTGGGTCATCCAGAGTGTTGTCAAGAACAGAGAATCAAAAATGCTCATGGTGTAGGCCCAGGAGTTTCTGAGTAATTTCTGTCACCCAGAATTCTTATTTGATATTGATGTTGG